TCAGACTTCATCGCCTTTTGCCAAGACTCTGCGACCCGATCTTGGAGTGCCTCATTATATGTCCATGGGTTGGATTCAAGAACGTCCGGGACGGCCTCAGAAGACTCTCCCAGACCCATGAACCATTCGGGTTGCCAGACAACCCTCCCACTACGAAGAGGTACTTCCTGCTCAGGTGCATCATCAGCGATACGTGTTGCAGTACTTTGTGGTGTAATATCTAGCGCACTCGGTATTGAAGTACTCACTCCCTTTAACTCCTCAAGAACGTGTCTACTACTGGGCTTATGATCTAAGACATAGTCTTCTTCCAAGAACCTAGCATTCGTGCTAACGATTACTTTCTGGTCCTCGGGACTATAAAATAGACCACCTTTCGTTTCCTTAGAATATCCCACAAACAGCCTTACTTCTGATCTCGGTTCCAACTTATCAGTATCGGTTCTCAGCACATGTGCTGGGCTACCCCAAATCCTGAGATGTCTTAGACTAGGCTTATGCCCAGACCACAACTCCAATGGTGTAGACGGTACTGATTTAGAAGGTACTCTATTCAGAATGTACACCGCTGTTTCTAGGGCATATCCCCAAAACGAATCTGGTAATCTACTATAACTCATCATTGCCCTAACCATTTCCATAAGAGTCCTGTTCCTCCGTTCTGCTACGCCATTCTGCTGAGTTGTGCCAGGCACAGTCAGCTGGGACGTAATCCCATTATTCGTCAAGTAGCTCCTAAATTCATTCGAGAGGTATTCGCCACCACGATCCGATCGTAATGACTTGATACTTTTTCCTAACTGCTTCTCCACAACTGCCTTATACTCCAAGAACTTCTCAAAGCATTCAGACTTGCGGTGCAGAAGGAAAATGTACCCATATCTCGAGTAATCATCGATAAACGTAACGAAGTACTCGAAACCACCTCTCGCTTGAATACTCATAGGACCACATAGATCAGAATAAACTATCCCTAACACATCTTCGGCTCTATGCCCCTTTGAACTAAAAGCCCTCTTAGTCATTTTACCTTCCAGGCAAGACTCACAAGTTGTAAAAGCCTCGACTTCTAGTGTAACACCCCACCTTACTAGATAAATCAGAGTTGCGCATTTATTCGCAAAGTCTT